GTCTACGAAAGCAAGTATGAAGTGTAAAAGGAAGGATTTCGATGAGAAATAGTCAGTCTTTGGCCGTTGTGTATTTTCTTAGACTTGCTGCATTTCAACAGAAGTTGCTTTGCGACACTGATTTAACGCTGTGAGGAAATCAGGCACGTTATTTCTGTAGAAATAAAAACCCGTAAATGATTTCTAGAATAATGCAATATATTTTTGGTGTAATATGAAATAGGAATGTGATGTTTCATTGACGCATCATCTTTAATGCACCTTTAGAGACGTGTGTGTGTGTGTGTTTGTGTAAAAGGGACACAGTCAGGTTTATTTTTGCATGCTTTTTACATTTTTGAAGGGAAGTCAGTCTTACTGTATCTGCTAAAATCATTTTAGTATCATTTTCTTGTATTATTTTCATCCTCGGTGGAACTTTATGGTACATTTATGTTCATCACATGATTTAACAAACTAATATTTAGTTCTATTTTATCTGTAATTGTTTTGTTCTGTATGGGAGAAAAGTGATGAGGTAGATTTCAGGGTTGTTGTTGATGTATGAAACGGTACGAGTTTTGCGCTCTTCCATGTGAAGATTGTCCAGAGATTACGAGTAAATCTACATGCATCATGCTAGATTTCAATGGGTAAAGGTTTGAACCACTGCAGTGTTTCTTGTGAAATCTCTTAGCCATATCCAAGTTCACCGTCTGACAGTGTCGCCACATTAATGTGCAATGAGATTTTATGTACGAGATCTTAATAAAGTCTTAATAAAGATTTTGTATTTAAATGCTTAGTTTTCGTTGTCTTTTGTTGGTGGGAGAACCTGCTTGTGACTTCAAGGATGCATGTGTACAAGAAATCTGATAAATTAAAAATTTATATAAAAAAATTAATTTATTAGAAATTAATATAAGTAGAAATCAAATTTAACACATTAAAATGAAGCATGTATACATCTACAATGCACTTGAATGTTTAATTAACCACATTGGTCATTTTGGTGAATGAAATACACCAAATGAATGAATGAAATACATACATTTTTCAGCTTAGTCCCTGATTTATCAGGGGTCGCCACAGTGGAATAAAATGCCAGCTATTCTGGTATGTTTTATGCAGTGGATGCCCTTCAGGCACAACCCAGCACTGGGAAATTAATTTAAAGTATTAATTATTAAATATTAAGTTATTAATACTTACATGTATGCAAGTATTATATATATATATATATATATATACATATATACACATATATATATATATATATATATATATATATATATATATATATATATATATATATATATATATATACATATATATACATATACAACATTTCAGTCTGGTTCTCAAATCTGATTGGCTGAGAGTCATGAAATATTTAAAGAGCCCTTATTATGGGTTTTTGAGAATGACCTGCCATGTAACAGCTCCAAGTGAAGTGAAATATCCAGCTAAGGCTTAAATCTGAAAGTGGACAGTGTTTAAAACTATTGATTCATTCATAAAAGAGTCGACTCCTAGTAGTTCAAATGAATCATCTTGATAACGAGTCTAGCCGTTTTGGTGTGACGTGGAATTCTGACAATGTTATTTGCGACTGTTAGATGCTGAAAAATACTTTGCTGGAAATGTTTTACATCATCTGAGCTTCCTGTGGTGAGAGCTGTGATCAACTTCACTCGTTTAGCTGGTAGAAACCCGTCTACGTACTGTAGGTTATATTGGGTGATTTTTGAGGTGCTTTAATTGGATTCTGGGGATTTGTCGTCATGTGGCTGGTTTGTTTTTGTTTTTGAATGTATTTATGTGGACGCGACAGGCAAGTGTTTCTGCAGGGGTGGTGCATTTAAATGCCGTTGCCATTTTTGTTGGGCCTCGGAAATGGTTGCACTGCATTGTGGGATTTGTATGCACAGAAAGTAAAGAATGTTTTGAAGTGTTTAAAGGTCAAGCTTCCTAGATGGCAACTGATGGGATTGATTTGTTGTCAGCTATAATTTCCAGTCGATGACAGTGAGACAGCAGCTTTTCTGCCCTGATGCTGATCTATCTAGTCTACGAAAGCAAGTATGAAGTGTAAAAGGAAGGATTTCGATGAGAAATAGTCAGTCTTTGGCCGTTGTGTATTTTCTTAGACTTGCTGCATTTCAACAGAAGTTGCTTTGCAACACTGATTTAACGCTGTGAGGAAATCAGGCACGTTATTTCTGTAGAAATAAAAACCCGTAAATGATTTCTAGAATAATGCAATATATTTTTGGTGTAATATGAAATGGGAATGTGATGTTTCATTGACGCATCATCTTTAATGCACCTTTAGAGACGTGTGTGTGTGTGTGTGTGTGTGTGTGTGTGTGTGTGTTTGTGTAAAAGGGACACAGTCAGGTTTATTTTTGCATGCTTTTTACATTTTTGAAGGGAAGTCAGTCTTACTGTATCTGCTAAAATCATTTTAGTATCATTTTCTTGTATTATTTTCATCCTCGGTGGAACTTTATGGTACATTAATGTTCATCACATGATTTAACAAACTAATATTTAGTTCTATTTTATCTGTAATTGTTTTGTTCTGTATGAGAGAAAAGTGATGAGGTAGATTTCAGGGTTGTTGTTGATGTATGAAACGGTACGAGATTGTCCAGAGATTACGAGTAAATCTACATGCATCATGCTAGATTTCAATGGGTAAAGGTTTGAACCACTGCAGTGTTTCTTGTGAAATCTCTTAGCCATATCCAAGTTCACCGTCTGACAGTGTCGCCACATTAATGTGCAATGAGATTTTATGTACGAGATCTTAATAAAGTCTTAATAAAGATTTTGTATTTAAATGCTTAGTTTTCGTTGTCTTTTGTTGGTGGGAGAACCTGCTTGTGACTTCAAGGATGCATGTGTACAAGAAATCTGATAAATTAAAAATTTATATAAAAAAATTAATTTATTAGAAATTAATATAAGAAGAAATCAAATTTAACACATTAAAATGAAGCTTGTATACATCTACAATGCACTTGAATGTTTAATTAACCACATTGGTCATTTTGGTGAATGAAATACACCAAATGAATGAATGAAATACATACATTTTTCAGCTTAGTCCCTGATTTATCAGGGGTCGCCACAGTGGAATAAAATGCCAACTATTCTGGTATGTTTTATGCAGTGGATGCCCTTCAGGCACAACCCAGCACTGGGAAATTAATTTAAAGTATTAATTATTAAATATTAAGTTATTAATACTTACATGTATGCAAGTATTATATATATATATATATATATATATATATATATATATATATATATATATATATATATATATATACACAACATTTCAGTCTGGTTCTCAAATCTGATTGGCTGAGAGTCATGAAATATTTAAAGAGCCCTTATTATGGGTTTTTGAGAATGACCTGCCATGTAACAGCTCTAAGTGAAGTGAAATATCCAGCTAAGGCTTAAATCTGAAAGTGGACAGTGTTTAAAACTATTGATTCATTCATAAAAGAGTCGACTCCTAGTAGTTCAAATGAATCATCTTGATAACGAGTCTAGCCGTTTTGGTGTGACGTGGATACAAAACTTAAGCCCTGCCCAGTTGTTGCACGTGCAAGGCCAGGAAAATTGGAATCTGCAGCCCGCCCACTAGCACAGTAGCAAAGAAAAAGAGGCTAGACACGCACTTTAGCAGACGCCAGTTGAATCAACGCTGTGCTCAGCAGGATATTATTGGAAGTGTGAGGGACCCAAAGATGAAACTGTGAAGAGTCGGTGGTTGAGGTTTATTTTTGCAAAATTACCCAGGCATTATAGCCCCAGCCTTGTGCAGTTTGAGTGCTTGTGGAGTCTACACGCTTACAACGGGGCATTCGTTGACTGTTTGATAAAGTAAGGATCAGAAAAGACTACTGATGTAGGGGACTATGTCAGTACATGGATCAGTGCACCGTGGATCAGTTTCTTCCTCCATTTCACAAGTGTAAGTAAGAGCGAATTAAAATGGTTGCCTTCTTGTTTTCTCTAGCTTGCAAATTATGGCGGCATATCAATGCCAATATTAATCGCGCGCAGCGGTGATGTTTGCGCGCGAGGAGAAGTGAACCGTGAGCAGATTACAGGTCTACACGCGAGAAAACTACAGCTCAGGGGATCTTCACGCGCGCGCTCAACTGATCCAGCGCAAGAAAACAAGTCCCGCGCGCGCACATCATCATCTGTGCGCACGATGTACGCTCTCGCGAGTGAGGTCATGCCTACAGCGCGCGCGCACGATCAGTTCTCTCCGCTCGCTCGCTGGTTCTTCTCTCTGCTCGCGCGAAACATTTCGGATTTTTGTCAGTCCTGGGGCGGGACTTTACTTGTTATCTCTAACGCTATTGGCTACTCTTCCTTTCCGGAAGTTATATGGAATGACTATTCAGCATTTACAAGTTTAGTTCATTTTGACTGACATGACATAAGCAAATGATAATGTTCTAAATTGCAGACAGTTGTATGAAAGCAATTGTTGCATGTCCGAAAGCATTTGCAATTTGTTGAGAGGAATGAGAAACTGCTACTGGGATGTACACAAATGACTAATTGTTTTAAGAAATGCATTAACTGTTGTGCAAATGTAAATAGTGTTGTGAGAAATGCAACAAAGACTGAGAAAAACTATTGTTATTGATAACTGTTGTATAAACGCAATATCACACTCGTAGCAGTGCGATATGGCTTTATATTGTCACTGGTGGGACACTAAGGCACTTAGACTTCAACTGTATATAATGTATGTGTGTGTACATATATACACATATATACATTTGTTTATTTTCATCTGTAATTTTGTTGTTTTAAGGCCTATATAAAATGGCTACTAATGAAATCTAGCCTTTGGGTTAATTTGGCCACATTTACATTCTTGGGGAGTGTTGTTAGTGTACACTGACCCTTGGTTGTGAAAATATACTAAACAAAAAATTTAAATTTAAAAGTAGTGTCTTGACAACCAAATGGAATAGGCTTCATTTGAGGTACTAAATTTACTGATAATAAAACTGAAATATTCAGATAAAAATAGTCAATTGTAAAAGCATAAAAGTTCAATTTACCAATATATATTCAACATTTCTCTTTACAGAAATCAACATATTTTATCAACATTCTATCATTTTATCTGAACAAAAAATGCCTTTATTCTTTAATTAAACAGCCGAATATAAAAGGTCTTTCAGTAGGTCAAAAACCAGCAGATCTTCACTGAATACTAAACTTTTCATTAAATGTGTATAACATCATCAAGAGCTGCCTGAAAATAGCAAAATGACAAAAACACCTCCTTCTACTGCTCCTCTTCTTCCTCTTGTTCCTTTTCCTCCTCTTCTTCCTCTTGTTCCTTTTCCTCCTCTTCTTCTTCTTCCTCTTTCTCCTTTCCTTCTTCGTCTTCCTCTTCTTCTCTGACGTCCTGTTGTGGTTTGCTTTGTGTGGGTTTTCTGTCAACTGTGTCTGATTGTGTGTTGATCTGAGGCTGTGATTGGCTTATTTCATCGCTCTCCTCGCTGGACTCCTGATTGGTCGACTGTGCTGACGAATGAGCCGTGCGGAGACACAGTGGGCGGGGCCCGGAGCATGAGGAGCTGGCGGAGCTGTTAAAGTGTGACGCCGCCATGCATTCAGCAGTGGAGCGATCACACACACACTGCAGCCGGTCACACACACTCACTCCGAAACCTGCACAATCAATAACTCAATTAGCAACATGCCAGACAAGTGGTGTTGTGCATGAATGCTCTTTTGTGTGTGTGTGTCGTACATTGAGGTTTTGCTTTGTGGCAGCTGATGTGAGCGTTGAGTTTTCTGTTTGTCCTGCAGCCAAACACACTGAGCTGCTCCAGACAGCACTGCTGCAGAAAACAACACCTGATACAGAGATAAACGCCAAGGACAGTCAGGACACAAACACACCCAGCACTGCATTCACACATTAGACTAGTCACAAGCCAGGTTAAATTGGAAATATTCTAAAATGCTTTTGAAAAAAACATCAAATAAAATAGTAAATACCAGGAAAATTAAATATTATACACTATACAAATAAAGGTACAAAACCTGCCATTGGTGTGGTACCTTTTCAAAAGGTACACTTTTGTAATGTACATATGCACATTGGTACTTTAAAGGTATACTTTTGCATTTTACCAGTGCACGTTGGTACTTTATAGGTACATTTACAGTATAAGGTTTATATAAGGTCCCAGGGTTGACAGTGCATGTCAAAGCACAAACCAAGCATGAAGACAAAGGAATTGCCTGTAGACCTCTGAGACAGGATTGCATCAAGGCTGGGGAAGGTTACAGAAAAATTTCTGCTGCTCTGAAAATCCCAATAAACACAGTGGCCTCCATCATCTGTAAGTGGAAGATGTTTGAAACCACCGGGATTCCTAGGGCTGGCCGGACATCTAAGCTAAGTGATCGGGGAAGAAGGGCCTTAGTCAGGAAGGTGATCAATTACCCGATGGTCACTCTGTCTAAGCTCCAGCGTTCTTCTGTGAAGAGAGGAGAACCTTACAGAAGGACTACCATCTGTGCAGCAATCCACCAATCAGGCCTGTATGGTAGTGTCCAGACAGAAGCCACTCCCTGCCAGGAATTTTCTAAAAGGATCTGAAGGATTCTTAGACCATAAGAAACAAAATTCTCTGGTCTGATGAGACTAATATTGAACTCTTTGGAGTGAATGCCGGGCGTTACGTTTGGAGAAAACAGGCACCGCTCATCAGCAGGCTAATACCATCCCTACAGAGAAGCATGGAGGTGGCAGCATCATGCTGTTGGGGATGTTTTTCAGCAGCAGGAACAAGAAGACTAGTCAGGATAGAGGTAGAGATGAATGCAGCAATGTACAGAGACATCCTTAATGAAAACCTGCTTCAGAGTGCGTTTGACCCAATGACCCAAAGCACACTGCCAAAATATCAATGGAGTGGCTTCACAACAATTTAGTGAATGTCCTTGAGTGGCCCAGCCAGAGCCCAGAACTAAATTCTATTGAACATCTCTGGAGAGATCTGAAACTGGCTGTACATTGTTGCTTCCCATCCAACCTGATAGAGCTTGAGAGGTACTCTTTGTATTTTATTTATTTATTTTTTTTGCATCATTGACACTGTAAACCGACCCTTTAGGATGAATTATAAGTAAAAAAAAAAAAAAAAAATCCAAGTGTACTTTAAGTTAAACTATTAGCAGTTTTGTGAGTAAATTTTGTGTGTTCTGACCGGTCCAGTCGGTCCACTGGTTGTCCTGTCCCCTGCTGACCACAGTAGCAACCGTAGTGTTGATACTCATGAGGGCATCGTCCGGTCAGACAGTGTAACATTTCTCCTAGAGCAGACATATCCCTCCACACCCGTCCAGATGCGCTGTACTGGAGGAAAGACATGCTACACTCTACAAACACACACACATTTGTTTTTTGAGACATTAAAATAAAAGACCTACAATTCATACATGTAACTTAATTCAGATTAGTGCATTATAGGTATGGTTTTGTAAATAAGTTTTTTATTTAATCCTTCAATACTCAAAATTGTCAAAAATCTCATACTTCTCATGTAGATGCTAAATTTGAAACTGTCAGAAAACTACATTCCACGTATATAGTATAAATGTAAGTAGAATGAATGGAATTTGCCATTTGCTTGACTCCCATTCCCATAAATTATCTCATGGGATAGTAGTGTCCATTGGATGCGCACTACAGAGGTCATTCAAACACCTCTCTGTTTTTCTGATACTATGAATAGACACTACTCATCTCGCATACTGTTTCTTACATTTTATATATGCAATTTTAGACACTCCATCATTTATGCTTTATGTCATGTATTTATGTCATGGTATTTTAAAAGTATTTAAATTTATTATTTAAAAAGTATTTAATATTGAGTAGGGGCGGAGCTTTCTTTTGCACATTATTTAAGTTTTAGTGGATTAACTTGCACAGATTAATTGTTCACCTGAAGAACAACAATGTGCGCAAGCGAAATAAACATTGTAGATTTTGATTTCAGACCGCCTTTTAAGGCAATAGTTCAGCCAACAAAAAATATATATATATTTACTCTATTTACCCACACACTTGGTTCCAAGCCATTATGAGTTTCATTTTTTTCTAAAAGAAGACATTTTTGAAGAAAAATGAAAACCTGTAGCCCTGTTGGCTTACATAGTAGAAAAAACACATTCTATGAAGGTCAGTGGTTACAGGTTTCCTGCTTTCTTCAAGATATCATCCTTTGTGTTCAACAGAGGAAAGAAACTCAAACAGGTTTGTGACAAGTGAAGGATAAGTTAACATTAACAGAATTCTCAGTTTTAGGTGAACTATCGTTTTAAGGGCATTTTTTTGTCTACATATGTGCATTTCATTTCTCTCTCTAAATAACTCACCCTCAGAGTCTTTTTGCTGCTGCAAATCTGTGAGTCCAGCTGCTTCCAACAGAGACAAAGTAAAAAACGGCAGCGCTCGTCCCCGGACCCGAAGAGACTCTGGAAAACACACACAAACACACAGACTGTTGTCTCTGGAGTCTAGACGTGTTTGGAGAATAGCTTAATGCAATTTACTCAAGCAGGACATGTCCTTGGAAAAACATCCTAGTACAGCATTACCATATCAATCAGCCAATTAGATATTCAGATCAGAATTATCATCAACCAATGTTTTGTCTTTGATTCTATGCGTAGGTTATGAACAAGTTTGGCTGATCCCAGTAGTGTTCTTTTTGGCAAAATTTGTCCAGACCTGCTCCTGGAGTGTCACTGTCCTGCACAGCTGAGATCCAACCTTAATTCATATATACAGATTAAAAAAGCTAATCGAGGTCTTCTGACTAGAGGTCTTTCCAACCAAATCAATCCAAATCACTTCCTATACCTGAACATGAACACATGCATACCTGAATTTTTATAAAGTAAGTCTTGACCTGAGACAGACATAATAAAATTAGGCCCAAATGCAAGCCAACCTGATAGTCTGTTGTTGTTTTTTTTTGTTTTCAAATTCTACTTGTATCTGAATGTAAATGCATTGACGCGTGCAAAGCCTGAAGTCAGTAAAAATAAATAAATAAATAAAAAGATTTCTGTGGTCAGGCTGACTGATATAGTCACTGCTCACATTGTTCCATTTATTCGTTTAGTTTAATCCTTTATTATAACATTTGATTATTGCCTGCCTGACTAAACTATTTCTGAATTTGCTTTTTAACTGTGACCACTATCGGCGCTAGCTAGATAAAAGTTACATTTTCATTCATTCATAATTTTTTTTTCGTCTTAGTCCCTTTATTAATAAGGGGTCGCCACAGCCGAATAAACTGTCAACTTATCCAGCATATGTTTTACATAACTGTTGTTTAATGCAAACTCTACACAGAAATGCCAACTGACCCGGCTGAGGCTCAAACCAGTGACCGTCTTGCTGTGAGGCAATCGTGCCACCCACTTCGCCACTGTGATGCCCAAAATTTTAATTTATAGGTTAATAAATCATGGATTCAAAAGTGTTGTTTTGTTACCTCATCTCTGTTGCACACAAAAAAGAAATGACCTGCATGAACATGCAAGAGATACTGTAGTTTACTGCAAAATTAAGATTTACAAGCCTTAATGAATTTCCCTTTGCTGCTGAGCATAAAAGATATTTAAAAAAATGTTAGAAACCTGTAACCATTGACTTCCATAGCAAGAAAAAAATACTATTGAACTCCCTGATTGTAGGTTTTCAGCATTATTTATGTTTAACAAAAAAATAAATAAAAGAGTTTTGTGACAAGTTAAGTAATGGGTAAGTAAATGTAAGTAAGGGTGAGTAAAGGATTTTTCTGTTTGCGGTGAAGTATCTCTTTAATTTGCTTGACGTTTAATTAATCTAAAACATTTTTGGTCATGTCAAGTATAAACATATAGTCTAAATTAAATTAAATAACCCTCAATCACTAAACCCAACCCATGTCCGAGGCACTCATAGTTTTGGACCCAACCCTGCTCAGGTCTCAGGTTGGTGGCTCACTTTTTCCCAATGCTACGCCTTACTTTTTATCCTTCATCATTGTGGGTTGAAATGTTAAATAAATTTATTATGTGTTTCGAGTGGTCTTTTTCTTGCCAACCTGTGTTTTAAAACTGACGCTCTCATCCCAAAACCGAAAGTTAAATCAGCAGTTTGGCAAAATATCAGCTTTTAACTAAAATAAATACCAATTTAGATTGGACAATATGCCTATTACTATTTAATTTATTTATTAGTAAAAACATATATTGAAACTAAATTGAAATGGAAATATAAAGTTTATTTTGTCAGGCTAATAAAATAATTTTACTGCATTTCTGTTCAATTGCTGTGTTTAAATTATTAAATTATTTAAAGGCTTAAAATTATTTAGGCTTTTTTTATATAACTAATTGCCTAAAATTTAAAACGTGATGCATAATAGCACGACACCAGAGCTGTAAATGCAGTGAGCAAACTTGATAAGCGAAAGTTTGCCAGTAATGCTGCATATCGCGCCATATTCATCAACCAGATTTACGGCAAGAGAAATTTCTCAGTGGTCAAATGGTCCCATAAAGACCTTTACTTTTAACTTGTTAAAATGTGTGCAGGATACTGTCCATCCAAAATTAGGAATTGCCCATATTGGCCCTTCATGGCAGGTTGATTAACTCTGGACTCCCCTCTCAAAGCAAATGGAATTGTCTTAACTTTAACCCCCAATACCAATTTACCACTGGTAAATCAAATTATTTAACGGTGGCTCAGTGATTAGCACTGTCACATCACAGCAAGAATGTCGCTGGGTTAAGTCCCAGCCTGGGCCAGTTGGCATTTCTGTGTGGAGTTTGCATGTTGTCCCCGTGTTCGTGTGGGTTTCCTCCAGGTGTTTCCCCCACAGTCCAAAGACATGCGCTATAAGTGAATTGGATTAACTAAATTGGCAAACGAACGTGTGTGAATGTGAGAGTGTATGGGTGTTTCCCAGTAATGTGTTGCAGCTGGAAGGGCATTCCGCAGTGGCAAACCCTAATAAATAAGGGACTAAGCCAAAGGAAAATGCATGAACGAGTATCAGATTTATCACTCTTACCAATTTTCTTAGATTCCTGAGAGCTGTCAGAGGGCTCTTTTTCTTCCTCCTCCTCCTCCTCCTCTTCCTCAGCAGACTCCTGCCGTTCCGTAGTGGTCAATGAGGGTGACCGATCAGTGATTGGATGGGGAGGTTTCTGAGGATGACTGATGGTTTCAACAGTAGCTCGTCCTGATGTTGTGGTCCGTGTGCTGATGGGCTTTTGAGGAACCACAGTTGTGCTCTTGTGGTTCGTAGTTGGTTTTACCACTGTTGGTGCTGGTGATACACTATGAACCACAGGTTTAGGGATCGGTGCTGGAATGACCCAACTGAACGGACTAATCTGGCTCACCCTATATGGGATGGTGGTGGTTTGGCTTGTGGTTGATTTATCATCCTCTTCATGACTTTGTAAATCTTCCTTACTCTCTTCCTTGTCCATTTTTTGAGTTGGAGTTGTTGGTTTTGTTGTGCTTAATTTGTAGTTTTGTTCTGTGCTGCTTTCTAGACTCTTGTTTGGCGGGTCTGCTAATAAATCCCTCTCTTTTTCTGTCTCTTCATCTTCCTTGCTCTCTGGCTTACTTTCATCTGATATGTATTTCTCCTCACTTTCTTTCATAGAGGGAAACTGCACAGAAGCTGCTGTATTTTTACTGGTCACCACTGACGAGGTTGTTTTGTGATGCGAGCTTTGATTGGTTGTTAATTTAGTGGGTGTGGTCATCAAAACCATATAAGGGCTCTGTGTAGATTGTACTTCCTTTTCTCCTTCCTCTCCTGATTCTTCACTCTCTTCTTCTGTTATAACATGTGTGTCGACATGTGGTTTAGTGATGCCATGTGTGTAATTAGTTGTAGTGTGCGTTTGTGTGAGTGTAGTATGTTCAAAAGTGTGTGTAGTAGGTTTTAAAGTGTTGCTTGTGAATAACTGAAGTTTATCTTCTTCACTCTCATAATCATCTTCGTCAAATGGATGATGGTCAGGTTGTGAGTGAGTTTGTACATATGTTGTTGGCGGGGTCATGTGGGGTGTGTTCTTATCTGGTAAGTCTGTGACATTCTGTGATTCTGTTAGCGCCATGCTAACAGTCGGCTCATCTGTCATAAAACAAAATATGTTAGTCAGAAATGTCAAATGTTTTAAGGCTATTTGAGTTTGTGTTTTTAGTATATGACAGGCTTACTGTTTGTCCAGTCCAGTTTGTTCCATTGCACTGGATTGTTGGTAGTAGGGGCTTCCACATTGTCTCCAGCAGGCTCTTCGGTTGTCAACACAGCAGTAACTAACATACAGAAAATATATGTATCATGATGGTCTTGAAGATCATAAAATTATAAAAGTTATACAAATAAAAATGCATAAAACACCGGTTTTCATAGGCCTGTAGTTTCTTGAGGTTAGTTTTAAAAGTTTTTTGTAATCCCTGTAAAAACTTTCAAGTAGCTTTAACTGTTTATAATAATTCTGTAACTAGATTTTTTTTATGTTCACAGAGTTTCTCACTTAAAAATATAACTCAATGTTTTACTTTTTTCAGTTGATCAAAACTTAACTCAAAATGTAACAACATTATGATTATAGCTGTATTTGTCTTTATTTACACAGTTAACATTAGCAATTCTGAAAACGGACTGGATTTTAAAATAATATTCCGTTTAATGTCTTATAGTAGCTTTTCCCATGATTGATTGATATATATATATATATATATATATATATATATATATATATATATATATATATATATATATATATATATATATATATATATATTACATGTTATTTAACCTTTAAATCACATATTAATTATATTGTGAGAAAAGTAAAATTTGGAATTAGTACCTTACATCTGTCTAGACATTGTTTTATATGTAGTGTTCCAAATGAAATAATATTTAATTTATATTTTCAATTTTTTATATTGTTTATCAGACTGCATCGAAATTAGATCTTGCTCCTCTTAATACAGCATATAATAGACTTTGCAGATTTGTCCTGGGTTGTTCTTTTTATACACATCATTGTATAATGCAGGGGTCACCAAACTTGTTCCTGGAGGGCCGGTGTCCTGCAGATTTTCGCTCCAACCCTAATCAAACACACCTGAACAAGCTAATCAAGGTCTTACTAGGTATACTTGAAACACCCAGGCAGGTGTGTTGAGGCAAGTTGGAGCTAAACCCTGCAGGGACACCGGCCCTCCAGGACCGAGATTGGTGACACCTGGTATAATGTATGATCTACTGCAATGGCCATCTTTGCACACAAGACGACATATTCACAGGCTTCAATTTACATTTAATTGTTTTCATTTTAAGTACCCTAATTATTTACAACAATATTTTGTGTTTTTTTCCTTAAATTATCGAGGTTAGACATTCTGTTCAGACTTATTTTTTTGTTCCTTGTTTTAAAAAAATCTATTGGTAAAACAGCTTTTATGTTTAGGGATCAAATAGATTGTAATAATTTACCTGCTAACATTTGATCCATTGCATCACTTAAGGTGTTTAAGCAAACTTTGCTGTCATATTTTACTTTGGACTGTACTTGTTTTTCCTGAGGATGTTGTTGTTTATGTGGTGATTTGATTCACTGATCTGTACATCTTTTGTACTATGTATATGTATGTATGTATACTACTTCTCCTTTTGTTAATGTTTGTTTTGTTGTTTGTCGTTGCTTTTTGGATGTTATGTAATTTATGTTTTGCTTTTGTTTTCTTGTGTTAGTATTATGTGATTATGATTGATTGTGGGACCTCCTTAAAAATGAGATGGTACATCTCAAGGGGTTTATCCTAATGAATAGAGGAACTCAACTGAAATATATAGTCACACTTTAAAGTGATGGTCCATTGATAATGTTAATTAATGTGTTTACTATCATGAACTAGATATAAACAATAATAGTAGAGCATTTTATTAATAATAGTTCAAACTTATTTATAAAGCGCTTTTAAAAAGCAATGAGTGTTTACCAAAGTGCTGTACAAGGATGAACTATTTAAAACAAAGGATAAATAAAACAGACATAGGACTTTCATATAGTGTTAAATCCCAAAGAGTAAAATGAGTTTTAATTACGTTAAAGTCAATATTTATTTATAAATAGTATGAAGGAATCATTCATGTTTATTTCTATAGCACTTTTACAATGTAGATTGTGTCAAAGCAGCTTAACAGATGTTCTAGTAAACTGAAACTCCAGTCCAGTTTTCAGAGCTTAAGTTCAGTTCAGTGTGGTTTAAATTGTATAGTTCAACATTTCTTAAACCATTATGAAAATCCAAAGTTGCGCTTGTTAAGAGTAGTTAATGAACTGTGAGTTAACATGAACTAATAACATTGAACATTAATTAATTAATTCATTTTCCTTTGGCTTAGTCTTTTTATTCATCAGGGGTCACCACAGCGGAATGAACCACCAACTTATCCAGCATATGCTTTACACAGTAGATGCCCTTCCAGCTGCAACCCAGTACTGGGAAACATCCATAAACACTCATTCATAACAGCCAATTTAGATTATTCAGTTAACTTATAACGCATGTCTTTAGACTGTGGGGGAAACCAGAGCACCCTGAGGAAACCCATGCCAACAAAGGGAGAACATGCAAACTCCACACAGAAATGTCAACTGACCCAGCCGGGACTCAAACCAGCGACCATCTTGCTGTGAGGTGAAAGTGCTAACCACTGAGCCACCGTGTCACCCCTAACAATAAATTAATGTGAACTAACTTTAGCAAAGATGAATAAATACTATATTGCTAATACTAATAAATACTGTACATTAACAAACATTAACTAATGGACCATTATTTTAAAGTGCTACCTAATATAATATTAACATCTTCTTAACTAACCCCATGCAAGAATATTAGTGCAGCCTTTTTGCTTTTCAAACATTTTATTACATTAAACATATTTTTGTTATTTATTAATTGCAATTTCAAAGTGTAGAAACATACCGAATTTGAAAATCGGCCTTTATTTACAGTATTGTTTTTAACAGTAATATGTGTACTTTAGTTCTTGCTCAATTTACTTAAATATTTTATAGATACAGATAGACTTTGGCTCCTCCATTTCATTAATTGTTAATTGTTTTATTAATAATATACATAGCTTTTCTTTCTTTCAGAAGCCAGCAGCAACAAAAATGAATCTAAAGAGTTGTAGCTGAACTCAAGCGATGGAGCTTAAAGGCTGGTCGTCATTTAGAAACATTTGATCATATATGATTAAGCAGTTTTTTGAACTGTGCTGGAAATGCACAGAACACTTTGATGTTGAAGCTGGGATGAATTTGTTTGTGACTTGCAAAATTCAAAATGCACAAACTAAAACATTGCATCTAAGGCTCCGACCAAAGCTCTTACCATTGGAGAGCCCATCCTCATATTCCACTGGCTCTTCCTCTCTTTCAAGTGTGCTTTCTCTGTCTGGGTTTCTGCCCAGCTCTTTCTCCCCGGCTTCATTCTCCTCCTCCTCTGGACCTGAAGATGAAGTTCAGCTTAGATCAGTAAAGTTTTTAAGACTACTGGAGTTTCCAGAACTTGAGATAAAAGAGGGGGGTGAAATCACGCTTTAGGCTATGGAAAAAACTAAATATAAGTTCAGTGAAGTGCTTTACCTGACTGATATATCCCTGGATACTCTGTGCTCTGGAAATTGCTGCTCAGAGAGTCGTTGACCGGCACCAGCTCATTAGTGAAGTTGCTCATAGTCTCATTCAGCATGCCATTTACTTCTGACAAATACAGCAATAAAGGGAGTTTTTATTGTGTGCTATTTTAAATCCTTAAAGCTAAAAATATTCAGGATTTGGGTCTGTATATTCTGTAATATATTGTGTATTGATCTTCTTATTCCTACATGGACTGCTGATACACTAGTATCATTCAACACACTCCAGCACGTCAAGAATTTGCCAAGTACGATGCGATCCTAGATTAACAACTATGTTGATCCTGGAACATCACCTATTACCCACCCCTAAACCTAACTATAACATTATATATTTATATTCCCAAAATCAGAGGGGAACAATAGTTTGATATGATTGGAGTTGAATATCACTCATGTAGAAGTGTATAAACCTAACGTTAAGCCTAACTTTAACATAAACTGTAAACTCATACCTTAATTCTGATTAGCTGATTGGAATGTTGTTCTAGGATCAACATTGATGTTTATCCTGGAATAAGTCCTACTTGGTGAAATCTGGTTAGCAGTTCAACCACCCAACCCCCCCCCCCCCCACCATTACGCCACCCACCACACCAAAGGACGACCTCAAAACATTATGCAATTCTGAGTGTGCCTCACACTGGTGAGAGGGCTTGACAAACCACCTGTAGAAAACACACTCTTTCATCTCTCAGACACTTTAACCGAAACTTAACCAGTTTTGCACCAGACTCTTCCTTACAATTCCTCCATATTTCTAAAAAAGCATTGTGCATTTAAGACATGTGCTTCACACAGGTGAGTGGGCTTGACAAACCACCTGTTGAAACACTCTTCTCTCTCTCAAAAAAAAAAAAATTTTACTCTAGCACTTAATTCTCTGATTACTTAATAGTTCATTTGTATAATTAGCACTTCTTGTGAATATTGCCTCTTGTTGAATCACTGAATGCCTCCTCAATTGTAAGTCGCTTTGGACAAAATTACTTAATGTAAATGTATATTCAATTACTCACCATATTGTTTCAAAATTAAATGTTGTCAGAGAAGAGATCAGTCCCATAATTAATTCATAAAGCATAAACAAAAAAAAACGTCCTCAAATCATAAGCTGCAAACAAATATATAGTTTAATATATAGAAATAGTTTACCCATAAATCAAAATTTAAACAGTCTGCGCCAATAGCCTAATGGTTCTGTGCACCGACATATAGCACAGAAGTGCTCACAGCGACCTGAGTTTGAAGGCTTGAGGTTCATTTGTTAGCTGACCAATCAGAGCTTGTTGAGGGTGGGCCTTCAGAGGAACCAGGAATTATGATAGTCAATTTCATGTTAGCTGAGTACCAGCATAAAATGAAAGTAAGATACGTGGAAAAAAATTGCTTGATTTTTTACAAATGAAGCACAAGCACACTTCGTAAACACAGTTAAGCCTTAAAAATAGACTCTGCACCACCCCTTTAATGAACTGTGAGTTAATAAGAACTAACAATGAACAACTTTATCTTAATTAACTGACGTTAACGAAGCTCAATAAATACTAGTCTGTGCCAGCTCATTACCCACAATTAACACTAAATTGTATTAATTTATTGCAATAAATAATATTATTGTTAATGTTTTTAACAACAATATATCTACTTTAGTTCTTGTTCTTGCTATTTACGTGGATATGTTATAGATATAGATAGACTTTGGCTTTTCCATTTCATGAATTGTTATTTGTTTTATTAATATAATGCCAATGCTTTTCTGTCTGAAATCTACACTCTCCTATATCATAATAAAGGTAAAAACCTATAAATGTATTAAAATTTAAACCTTTACATTTTCAAACCTATATGAGTTTTGTAATTTGTTGAACACTAAAGATATTTTCAAGAAAGCTGAAAACCTATAACCATTGATTTCTATAGTAGGAAAACAAATACTATGGAAGCCATTGGTTCTAGATTTTTAGCTTTTTTTTCTTTTTTTTTTCAAAATACTGTATGTTGAGCACAAAAGACGATATTTTAAAGAAATCTGGAAACCTTTAACCATTGACATCCATAGTATTTATTTTTTCTACCATGGAAGACAATGGTTAGAGGTTTTTAACTGTGTTCAAAAGATCTTCAGTGTTCATAAAATAAAGAAACTCATAAAGGTTTGAAATTACTTGAGGGTAAGTAAACAGTAACTACGTTTTTATCTTAAGGCAGACTATCCCTTGCCTATCGGCCTATTTTGATAGTAGATAGTAGTTAGCATTTTACAAATGTCAGATTCATTAATAGTGTTATACATAAATGTATAAATGTTTCAAATAATTCACAAAGTAATTATTCATGTACATTAATATGCTGCTTTATATTAACACATTTCTTTTAATTACCGTAGAACATGGTCTCCATGTCGATGTCTGACAGGGGAAGATCCACACTTTCTGAGACACAAACCACACAAATATTTAGGTAATCTGTGATGTCACTTAAAGACAAATAGTTTTTAATGGATTGGGACAAGCAAGTGGGCCGATGATCTATTCATTTATACAGTAAAGTACATTTAAAAACACAACAAAGCTAAAGCAATTATAAAAACAACACACAGAATGATCCATTGTGGGTCTAAACAGCCTTACCTGTTACATTGACCACATCACTAATGTAGGTGTCATTTTCAAGTAGATCCGTCACAAAGGGAGAAACTAAAAGGAACACATAAGAGAGATAAACACTTTCTTATCTTATCATGTTATATCTTTATATGCCACATATTTCCACTGTTTGTTAAAACTGTGCACACCTGTGAAAGAGAAAGATGCTCCGATTTATTAGTGTTACCTGTCTGTGATGTGATAAGCTGGTTATCTCTGTCCTGTTTTGTGATTGGACGGTTGAAGCTGATGCAGTCTATAACCATTCGATCACACCGACAGAATCCTTCATCACAGAAATCCAACATATCTGCAAAAGATTGGATACAGAAGTTGGTTCAGCGTACTTTATTCTCCACAAAACAAATCCTAATAATATTGTATACATACTGTATGCTTATTTACACTAAACTTATAGTACAAATATTTTAGCTTCTTGTCTGTAATGTCACATGCTATATGGAAGCTTGTTTCCATTACAAAATAAAAAAAAGGAAAGGAAAAGATTGAGTTGTAATAACTTGTTTTATTTTTTATCTTATTGTATAAGATGCCCATCTGGACAAATGTAAATTATAGGACTTTCACACGACTTTAATAGACTTTTATAGGATTGTTCTTTTAGACCACATTTAAATATCATACAAACACATTTCTTTATACAAACAGAATAAAAAAACAAGGAATGTTGTTGCACAATTTACACTTTTTTCTCTATATTGCACATGTAAGTTTATATCTGGGAAAAACGTGACAGATTCATGTAAAATTTCTTAGAATAACAAAAATAAAGTTAAAAGATATAAACTATAAACTGCCAATTTTGAGATATAATCAATTCTGACAGATTATTTTAAAGATAATACCAAATTCATACGACAAGTTCACAATTTAACCTTCTTAGAATTGCGATAATGAGATATAAACTAAACAATATGAAAAAGTAAAGCCAGAATTGTGAGAAATACTGTTAAAATGTACTCTTTTTTGTATATACTTAGAATACAGAGGAAAAAATCCATTATTTTGAAATGCAAAGTCAAATATGATACAAAACTATTACAAAATGCTTGTGTGAATCAGAAACAAGCTTTCTTAAGAAAAGTCTTTAAACTGTATCTAAATTTTGAAAATATATACTTACCGCAGCTGGAGTTGTAGCTGCAGGTGTAGTTGTTGTTTGTTGGTGCCCTGCGACTGCAGTTTCTCTCCTTTAGCTCTTGTGAACATCTCAAGTGAGTAAAACAACACCTAAACACAATAACATTAAAAATTCAACATCCATATCAATATATATATATATATATATATATATATATATATATATATATATATATATATATATATATATATATATATATATATACTGTATATATATATATATATATATATATATGTGTGTGTGTGTGTGTGTGTGTGTGTGTGTGTGTGTGTGTGTGTGTACAAAAATAAATTTTGTGGGCCAAAATAAAAGGTTTTTCTTTTATGCCAAAAATCATTACAATATTAAGTAGGCTAAAGATTGTTCATTCATTCATTTTCTTTTCGGCTTAGTCCCTTCATTAATCTGTGGTCACCACAGCGGAATGAACCGCAAACTTATCCAACACATGTTTTACACGGCGGATGCCCTTCCAGCTGCAACCCATCACTAGGGAACTTCCATAAACACTCATACACTACAGACAATTTAAGCTTACCCAATTCACCTATACCGAATGTTTTTGGCCTTGTTGGGGAAACCGGAGCACCCACAGGAAACGCACACGAACACAGGGAGAACATGCAAACTCCACACAGAAACGGCAAATGACCCAGCCGGGGTTCAAACCAGCGACCTTCTTGCTGGGAGGCGACTGAGCTACCCACTGTGCCACCAAGCTGCCCGGCATGTTTATTTTATAAATAAATATGTTAATTTAGATTAATTTGGACATTTTTAAATGCAGTTTTCTCAATATTTAGATTGTTTAAATCCTCTCGAGCAAATATTGTCCAATCCTAACAAAACATACATCAATTTGTTTACCTTTCATGTGATGTATACATTTACTCAGTTACAGAAAAATTACACTTTTGTCTGGTTTTGTGGTCATTCATAAATTTAGCATTTTGTACACTAAATAAAAAGGTAAAAGATATTTGAAGGCTAATTATGTGCACCTTATAATACGTCTACATTAACATAAAGTGTTTATTTGTTTTGGTCTGCAATGTTTTTATTTAATTTATTTACCGTTACCCAATCTGAAGCAGCTAACAGACATGAGTGTGGTCAAAGCACGCGGGTGTGTGTGGACTCAACTGTGAAGTTAAAACATCCATTTAAAATCTTTCTACCCCCTCCCGAGTCTAATTTCATCCGCTTCATCTCACCCGTCGAGCGCGTCTACGGGCTGTATCTGCTGGAGGTCCCGCGTGTTTGCGTTACTGCAGTAATGCCCGTGATCCTGGATGTCTGCAGGACAAAGTCCAGTCTCACACCGCAGACTGACCGCAAACTCTAGCACTGACCGCAGGTCTTCAAACACCGCGTACAGCCAGGTCAACCGCACACCCAGACAACCTGTACGACATAAATATACACGTATTTTAACGGTCACGGTCAGTGGGAAATGGGGTTTTATACATCAGTTGTATAAAACATTTAACGATTAACTTACATTGTCGTGGTTAATTGGTTATGTTAATTGAACTTACCAATCAGAAGCTTGTCAGAGTTGAGGTCATCTGTTTCTGGGCAGAAAACAGCAGTGCTGTGAACTGCATGGAGAAATTAATCAATAAAATTAATCATAAAAATCAATAAATAACATGTCAAGTAACCTGCACTGGTTAAACATTAGTTCTAAATTTTACTGTAAAAGTTTAAATATTACTATAAATGTTTTACTATATTTTACTAAACACTGCTGTAATGTTTTTAGTATTAGGCTACTATACTATTTATTTATTATTATTATTTTTTACAAATGCATAAATTACAAAAGAATGTTGTAAAGTTTAATCATTATTCTTTTAATGGTGCAGTTTAAACCAAGCTTTCAACGTTTAAAGATTTGCTATTGCTACATATATTTGTTTTCTTTATTGATTTAGTAAATTATATACAAATAATATATAAAAATTATTTCACTACTAATCAACCTAAATATTTGAGTCAAGCAACAAAAATATAGATAAGTAAATAACCTCTTGGAATAAAATTTAAATAATTTACTATAAAATTTACTGTATAACACATGCATTGAACTAATAGTTAATTAGCTATCAAAACTATAAACTGCCAATTTTGAGATATAGTCACAATTCTGGCAGATTGTTTTAAAGATAATAGCAAATTTAGCTCGTCAGAGTTGAAGGCATTTGTTTCTGGGCAGAAAACAGCAGTGGTGGGAACTGCACAGAGCAATTAATCAATAAAACATCATAAAAATCAATAAATAAGTAGCATATCAAGAAACCTAAGAAAACTTACAATAACACATGCATTGAATTATTGGTTGATGAGCTGCTAAAAAAATAACATGCCCAGTTTTAAAAATGTTAAATTGTTGCATTTTCTACTAAAGTACACTGTTACTGCCATGGGGTATATGCACACAGACTTTTCATTTTCAGCCAGCCAGCCCTATGGCTTCCAGTGAACTGTCCTTCCATTATAAAATCGTCACGTTTAAGGTCTGATTTCTTTTAAAATCAGTTATTTTCACTGCCTGAAAGATATACAATATGAATTGGGTCTCAGACCAGACAAGAAGCACTGCATTAAATTCCATTTTTCCCCACCATGTCTTTAAAATATGATAATTTATTTTACCCCTGTATATTCAATGGAGTTTCTGCGCTTACCTGCTGATAATGTCTTTCATTTTGTTTTAAGCTTGAACAACTAAATGAATGCTTAACTCTATTTAACTAAATGTATTTTAATGACATTACAACATTGATGCTCTAAAAAGAACTTTATGAAATTTAAAATAGTCAGATTAAGCTTTCACTGGAAGTTTGTCATTGGCTGACAAACATTAGCTCTGCATATTCCCCATTTAAAAAAGTGTGAGCACACTTTGATCTTTCAGAAATCGTTCTAGCACACTGATGAAACTAATGAGTATTTTAAATGGTGTTTTTCATGTAAATTTCAGCTTCAAGGTAATGAATCCACTCTCACCTGGCAGAAGAATGCTTGTATAATCTCACCTTTCTGTAGTACGAAGAGGAAAATAAGATACAGCATCCTCATCTTTAAAAGAATCAGTCGTACAATCCAGTTTTCATACAATGAGTCTTGCAAAGTGTGACTGAATCAAGATTTTCAGTGGTCAGACATCCACACATCCAAACTCTACTTCACAATGTCTTCTAATGCAGGGGTGTGCATGAGACGAGAAAACAATCCCAAAAATGAACAAAGGCCTATTTAGGACATGGTCAAAGGGCAAAAAGGCTGTCATAGTAACAGAGCTGAAGGAGGTACACAATCTTTACGTTTGTATCAGGTCACACAAGTGGAGATGATGTAAGCTCTTACACACACACACACACACACATCCTATGCCTGTCTTTTATCCAGGGTAAAGGTCATGACCTCTTGTAATTTACCTACTCAAACAACTGACCTTTGTGTGTGGACAGGAACTGATAGAAAGTGGGGGTTGTAAATGATTCTTTGTGTTCTCTGGGTTTCTATAGAGCTAGAATGTTCATTCCACTTATTGCGCAATTCTGATTTAAAGTAAATTCCCACACCACACTTAAACATATTAGGAGTGGTGAACCATTTTCATGCTGACTAGATAAAAGAGTTTGTTAAGAGTCAAGATGGAGTTTGAGGTTGGTTTTATAAAGTCTGGCCTGACATTTTTCAAGAAAAACATTGTAAAAGCCTGAAATTTGAAACAAAGAGCTAAATAGATCCAGATAAAGCACATAATAATTCCTTACATTTATACAGTGCTTTTCGGGACACTAAAAGCGCTTTACACATTGGGGGAATCTCCTCATTCACCATCAGTGTGCAGCATCCACCTGGATGACGCGATGACAGCCATATTGCGCCAGACAACACACCACACACCAGCTGATTGGTGGAGAGAAGTCAGAGTGATAAAGCCAATATTGCTCAATTCCCACAGGGCTACAGCGTCAACCCTTAACATTGGGTGAGTCTAAAGTTGTAATTTGCGCCTGAACTTAGTGCGATGCACCATTTGGTAAAAGAACAACCTGTGTAGCTTCTCTGTCGCAGATCCATCGTTTGAACCATGTTAGTTATAACATAAAACACCCACAATGATGCTTTAAATGGGGTGGAGTAACAACTTCTTTAGAGAAGAACCTTATCATTTCTTTGTGTAAACTATATTGTTTTACACGCTCACGCATTTATAAAAAATGTCAATATCAGTTTTGGTAAAAACATGCACTCATTTTTCATATTAATTGAAATATATGTAAACAGCAAATACTGTATAGGGCCTAATATTTCCCTAATAAATATTATTGAGAACATTACATATTCTAAAACATAAAATCATTTACAAAAGCTAACACACATTCTAATCTCATATATAAATCATTTAAATATGTAAATAATTAGGCAATTTATTAAGATATGGAATGCAATATTTATTAATTATAAGGAAATGAAGAAAATTATACTTTAATGATAATATTAATGATGATGATTATTAAGAAGGATATTTTTTTTTATTTTTTACTTTTACAATTTGACACATGCAAACCACTGCAGAAACGTTCTAACCAACAGGCCATGTCATATACAGCAGGGGTTCCCAAACTTTTCAGCCCGTGACCCCCTTAAATAACAATGCTAGTGACTTGCGTCCCCCAATATCCTCTGAGATGGTTATAAATATATAAACCTTGCACACAATGGCGCAAATAATAGGCCCAAGTCTATTCATCTTTTAAACCTGAGTGCCGTAAAGATGCCAGAAAGTTTAACCTGGTACCATAATGTCAATGTGCTGCATCTAACACAATTTCTATGAGGTTAAAATAACGTCTATCACCCTAGTAGTCACAAAAAAAAAAAAATTGAAAAGGCTTATGGCTTCTTATTTGCATTCTGTTTTTTATTACCTTCAATGTTATTTAGTCTGTAGTTTATTAATAAAAAAAATTGTAATTTTAGTAGTTTAATAAAATGAATTAGATTTTTGGAAATCACCAAGAAACCACCCCTGCTGGTCTCACTAACACCACTTCCAGCAGCAACCTATAGCTTTACCATGTGGTCTCCCATCCAGATACATATCGGGCACCTACTGTACTTAGGCCCTGCTTAGCCTCAGTGGGCGACCATTTGAGAGAAGCAGAGAGCTAGCTGCTGGCTCAGAGCTAGCTGTCAGCTCAACATGTACTGTATGTCTGAAATGTGTATTTTCTGTTTACATGTATTAGCACATTGGAGTTAAGGTTCAGTGAAGCTTTAGACAGTTTCTATAATGTTTTTTGAAGTTGCTACTATGTTTCAGCATGCTGCTTGTGTGTTTAAAAAAATAGCAGGATAAATGGATATGAAGATAGATAAAACTGTTTTATTTGCCTTCTAAATCGTAAATGTCTTAGAGACATATTATATACATGAGTGATGGGTAGAATGTTTGTAATGTGATTTAACATAGTGCTAATGTTTTACCACAATGCTACCATGTTTTATTAGGTTGATTAGAAGTTTCCTCGAGTAATTCCTTACAGTGTTTACATATATTAGCATATTGGTGTTGAGGTTCAGTGAAGCTTCTAGCTTCAATTTCTAGCGTGTTTTAACAAGCTGCTAATGTTTCAGCAAGTTGCTAGCATGATTGCTAGCATGGAGAGATGGATGTGTGGTGAATGTATGGATGGATGGATGGATGGATGGATGGATAGATAGATGGATGGATGGATGGATGGATGGATGGATGGATGGATGGATGGATGGATGGATGGATGGATGGATGGATGGATGGATGGATGGATAGATAGATAGATAGATAGATAGATAGATAGATAGATAGATAGATAGATAGATAGATAGATAGATAGATAGATAGATAGATAGATAGATAGATAGATAGATAGATAGATAGATAGATAGATAGATAGATTTGACTTGAGTTTTTTTATATAATTTAAGTGCTTGTAGTGTAGTTCCAAATGAAAAATCTGGCATAGGTAAATATGTTTGGTTTTATTCATGTTCATAGAGACAAAGTACAATCTGGACACTAGAGATTTACACACTGCTCAGATTCACTGGGGTGTTTTACAGAGCTGTTTCTCTCACACATACATAAACACACACGCTCTTCAGTTCAGATGTCTGTCACCTCGTCTTACATCTTCACACACATTCTTGCCAGACATTTCTGCTTCAGATCTGAGAGAGAGAGAGAACAAACTGAAACTTAACCAGGCAGCAATGTGTGCCTTTAAATATTGTGTATGAATGCATACATGTTAATTATAGGCTATAAGTACATTTATTATTGTTTGGAATGTTAAAATAGGTGTAGTATGCTTTTGCTATGGAGATGCGATTAGGTTTCGTGTAAAGGTTTAATTATTTGTAAATAATGAATGATTTATTTTAACATGCTGTATGAAGTTAAAAAATGCAATGTGATCATATATATACAAGTAATAACTTGACTTTGATCATTTGGTATCAGAAGTGGCCTTAATGAAAGAAAAACGCCTCTAGATTACGCTTATTTTACCAAAATAAAATATGATCATGCCTTGATATTTTAATTATTTAATTTGGACCGTAAGGTCTGACTTTGCTTAGACAAAAGTCTTGTCACTTAACAGAAACAATGTACAGTATAGAATATAAAGTCATGGTGCAGTGGAAAAAGAATTAATAGTGTGTATGACTCCCATGAGCTTGCAGGACTGCATCCATACATCTCTGCAATGACTCACATACCTTATTAATAAAGTCAACAAAGCCAAGTGTTCATCAAGATTCTTTGGATACATTTTCAATACCTCCTCCTTCCTCTTACCCCAGACATGCTTGACCTTCTTTGCTTTTTATAAACTTTGATGTGGAGGCTGAAGTATGAAAGGAGCGCTATCCTGCTAATATCTTAAACTAAAAACACTGCTAGACTGCTACTTACTAGCAACTGTGGGATATAAATTTGCAATTCTGAGAAGAAAGTGATTATTGCTGTTATTTATTGGGGGCCAAGCACCAAAGGTACAAAGGTACCCTCGTGATTTGAAATTTGGCACATTGATAGAGGACATTTAATTCTTCAAATGGACCAAATTTGGACCCTGTAAGTCATACTCTCTAGCGCAGTTTTGAAATGTTTATACATTTTAAACCGTAGGTGGCAAAATAAAAATTTTTTTTTCCTTGATTTGATGCAAATTGACACCAAATTTTAAAAATGTATAGTTAAGTTTATTTTTTTCTAAAATTAAGAGTTTGTAAAACCTACTTTTTCGAACTCATCCTACAAGGGCAGTCCAATTGTCACCAAAATTTAACCAGATCATCTTGGCACAAAGATGATGCCGAAAACACAGATAGCACGCATGTCATAATTGTCAAAACTTCCTGTTCGTCATTTTGATTTTGTTCAAAAGCTCCTCCTAGGCCATTGGTCCAAATCTCACCAAATTTGACTCACGTGATATTCAGATGATGTTGACAAAGAGTTAGCAGTTTTGGCTATACGGTTATTGTTTACTGCACGACAAATATGCTGGTACAATGGCAAACCGCATCTGAGGCTGTAACTCTACAATGTTTATACATATTGACAAAACTTAATGTGTGTCATTGTCCCCTCACACTGACCACATCACATACATATAGTAACAGCACCACCTACTGGTCAAGAGTTATAAACCAATAAATTGTTGACATGCTTATGTTTTTGCTTACATTACCAGTTAAATGAACTTCAAATGAATTCAGAAAACATTGTGCTACTTGATGGTGCTCTCTGTAGAGCTTGCTGCTCATGGCCTCTGGATTGCTTGGCCCAGCTATTGCTGCTTGCAGCTATATTTATTATTATTATTATTATTATTATTATTATTATTATTATTATTATTATTGTTGTTGTTGTTGTTATTCAGTCACAGAATCAAGCTTTCATCATTTCCAATATGAACCCTCACTCACTAACTCGCTCACTTTCTTTCAGCTTAGTCTTTGATTTATCACAACAGTGGAATGAACCACCAATTATATGTTTTATCCAGCAGATGCTTTTCAAGCCACACTTATAAGAGCCCTAATGCAATAATCAGAAAGTCCTGCAATATCAGTTCATGTCTGCTCTTGGCTAACTTGTGCCATTTCAGTGCTTTTCTGCTTTATCAGCTCATGTCCGACTTCACACAATTATAGCTGAGGATGCTTGTGTGGTCAGCAAACAAGGAGCCGCATGTGGCCTTAAATGACTGGAGATTCTCAAGAACTAACCAAACACGATCAACAGTCTCAGACGGTTCAGTTCACCGCTGGAGACGCTCTAATCAGGTGTCTGTCTGCAACCTGTTTCATCTTCTGTCTCTGTCCAGCACAACACAACACACTCTTCACCATCATTAAAACTGACCCTAGACATCATTAGTCTGGTAGGAAGAGGGTTTAAATGGGATCACATACACACAAGTATACACACACAAACACGCATGCAGATCCTTTAATGAACTGACCTGTGTGTGTGTGTGTGTTTGAGATGGAATAATAAAGCGGATCTTACGCTTTTAACCGCAGACTGACATAACTCTAAATAGCCCAGAATAATCACCTCAGAGGGGTGACACCGTGGCACAGAGATTAGCACTGTCACCTCACAGCTAGTCGCTGAGCAGGTCGCTAGTTCGAGTCCAGGCTGGGTTAGTTGGCATTTCTGTGTGGAGTTTGCATGTTCTCCCAGTGTGTGCATGGGTTTCCTCTTGTTGCTCCGCTTTCCGCCACAGTCCAAAGACATGCACTATAGGTGAGTTGAATAAACGAAAGAATTGACTGTAGTGCATGAGTGTAAATGAGTGTGTTTGGATGTTTCTCAGTACTGGGTTGCAGCTGGAAGGGCATCCGCTGTGTAAAACATATGGTGGATAAGTTGGCTGTTCATTCCGCTGTGGTGACCCCTGATGAATAAAGTGACTAAGCCGAAAGAAATGAATGAAGATATTATCAATAAAGATAAATAACTTTTTTTTAATCGTTTAATGCTATATATTGTCTGTAGTAATATTGTGAACTATATTTTCTATTTTTTATTCTAAGTTTTAATTTAAGGGTGCTTTCACACCTGTGAATCGATTCAGTTGTTCCGAAACAGAGATTACAATTGTTGTTACATTGTTGCTCTTTGCTCTTGGAGCAGTTCGCTTTCACACTGCAAAGTTTCTAATCGGACCAAAAGAGCTAAAACAAGTCACGTGCGAGTAAACTCTCCTCACATTGGTCAGAGTGTCAGGGTTTATTTTGCAGCGTCCCGCTGAGCTGTCAGGAGAGGTGGTGGTGATTGACAGGGTGTGCGCGCGCGACGTGTCTGAGGAGAAATGCGGTGGGGAGGGGTGAGAAGGGTGCGAGACGCGGTGCCTATTTGAGGACCGGGAGGGAGACGCGAGATTACCGGGAGATCATCACTCGTTTGCGGGCATCCGGAGACTCGCGAAACTTCCCGCCCTACTCATAATTCTCTCTTCATATGGCCGTAAGCCAATTACATATCCATAAAACACAGTGATTTAACTGCACTCGGATCGGATCGCTTTCTCACTGCAATCAAACCGCTCCAGGGTTTGTTTCAATCGAGCCGAGACCACCTTATTCAAGCGATCTCGGAGCGATTACTTTGGCGCGGAACAGAGCGCGATTGCCCTGTTCACATATGCCAATCGAACCGCGCTAACTGGGCAAACGAGATACTTCCGAAACAAAAGTGTAGGTGTGAAAGCACCCTAAAAAACAAAAAAAACAAAAAACTGTTAACCTTCATAACAACTTCTCAGTTTGTTATTTAATTAAAATGTACAATAATAAAGCATGTTATCATGTAATAAAGCAAGTTATCATGCAGGTTTTGGATGCAATTTGAGGGTTAAATTAAGCATATAGGACTTTCAATAATTGGAACTTCTCTCTGTTATTGCTAATGATTTGAATGGACTTTTAGAGTGGGATGAATGTTTTGTACTGTATGTATGTAATGAATGTTTTATACTGTATGTATGTAATAGAGTTGTTAAATCATTATTATATCATTTGTTTCCTGTCAGTATTAGATTGGTTGATGTTGTGTAACTCACTTCTGGAAAAGGTGATTCTCCTCATCCGACCGCAGACTTCTGCAGTATGTCTCTCATACCATCGGTGACTGTCCACACAGTATCTATTGAACACAAGCAAAACATTATTAATACAATACTACTGAATGCAGGCAGGCCTGTAGCCAGGGCGATTCGGGTGGTTCGGAAGACCCACCCCTCACTGACAAAGGTTCAGAATTTGTTCCATGAGATCATTTGTCCTATTTTGACTGCAATGTCACTATGAATAGTGAAAATAATCCATTGAAAAAGGCTTTAAGACCAAGTGGAATACTCTGTTAGCTGTCGATTCAGCTAATCAGTTTTGCCAAATGCCAACAATTGGTTTTCATGAGTTCAACATGCAGCTGTGCAAGAAAACATACAACCTGACGTAAGAGAATCCATCTTTCGCCACTGTATTGTTTTTAAACAGAGATAACATTCATCTTGGACCTTATTTTTGAAACAAAATTTGACCAATAAAAAGCACAAAAAGCAGCCCTTATTAAAATTAATTTTCAGCTATTTGGCTATTGATGTTATTCAGGAATTTTCAAATGTACTTTTTTTTTTTTTTTTTTTTACGAGAGGAGGCTAGAAAAACTGTGAAGATCTACATTATTATTATAATTATGTTTTAACTACTTTTTTATTGAAATGGCCAAATTCTGATTTCTGAAAGTTGAATGTGCTGCCAGGTTGTTATTTGCCTAATAAATGACAATAGGCTACAGTTTTTCATTTAAACCTTTAACAGATTAATGTATTATTTTATGATTTATTATGTAATAAATTGTGCTTTAAAAATAAGTATTTGGTCATATTTCTTTATTCTAAATCTTAAGGAAATTTTGGTAGAGCCTACATCAAAAAGTGTGGTTATGATAACCATCTGTCAAGTTCAGCTAAAAACAATGCCTAAAATGCCAATAAAATGCTAAATTTAAATGTTATAATTAAAATGAGGCGTATAACTGCAAAAAGGTCTAACTTTTGAGAAAAAAGAACCAGCCCTTTTATCAGGCTGGCTACAGCCCTGTGCACAACTACAGTCTAACACTCTCAAGCTACTCATTTCATAAACAAACCTGGGTAATTAACATACGCTGTAAAAATATACATCAATTAACATTTTCTGTAGTTTGTGATTCTCAGGTGTTTTCCATATACAGTATTTATATGATACTTTTGCAATTCTGTGGGGGAACTGTGGGGAAAAGCAGAGCACCCGGAGGAAACCCACACCAACATGGGGAGAACATGCAAACTCCACACAGAAATGCCAACTGACCCAGCCGAGACTCGAACTAGTGACCTTCTTGCTGTGAGGCAACAGGGCTACCCACTGCGCCACCGTGCCACCCATGAATGAAAATTCATTTATTTATTCATTCATCCATTCTCTTTTCGGCTTAGCGCCTTTATTAATCTGGGGTCACTGCCAACTTATCCAGCATATGTTTTACAGCGAATGGCCTTCCAGCTGCAACCCATTACTGGGAAACATCCATTCACACTCATTCACACACAATACACTACGGTAAATTTTATCATTTCCAATTCACCTGCACCGCATTGGATTTGTGGGGGGAAATCGGAGCACCTGGAGGAAACCAACGGAAACATGGGGAGAACATGCTAACTCCGCACAGAAATGCCAACTGACCCAGCCGAGGTTCGAACCATCAACCTTCTAGCTGTGAGGCAACAGTGCTACCCACTGCCAGTTGGCGGTTCATTCTGCTGTGGTGATCCCAGATTAATAATGGGATTAAGCCGAAAAGAAAATGAATGAATAAATGAATGAATGAATGAATATTTAAGGCATGGGCGACACTGTGGCTCAGTAGTTAGCTGGGTCAGTTGGCGTTTCTGTTTGGAGTTTGCATGTTCTCCCTGTGTTCTCGTGGGTTCATTCCCCCGTGGCAACCCCTAATGAATAAATTTACTAAGTCGAAGGAAAATGAATGACTTAATGAATTTAACGCAAGTGTATTACAAGAAACTGACTTAAAAATGAACAGTAATCCCTTACTTTACCTTTTCAGCTGAAATGTAATTTAATTAAAGTACCTAGTTACTTTGTAACTAATTACACCCAACACAGCTTTGCGAGTCTTCTGTAAAATGCATGTGCATTATTCCTGCCTGCTGTGTATGTCCTGCTGAGGGTGTAAACAGCTGTGGTGCAGTGCCGTACCGCTGTAAAGCTGCTGCTCGGTGGCTGAATCCTCTGCACACACACTGAGAGTAAAACTTGCACAGCTCAAACACACACGGCTGCAGCTTCACCGAGCTGATGGTCGCTCTGCCCCACGACAGCTCCTCTTCGGGGGTCTCCTTTAGGTCCTCTTTCTCACTTTCTTGATGAAGCAGCTCTCTTCTCCATGGGCATCCTGTCACAAGAAATAATATCATCACAAAAAAGACTGAGGGACAGAAAGTGCTGCGAGTACCAGAAGATGAAAGAACGCAGAAAGATGAAAGAATGTCATGTATTTTTGAAGAGGAACATTTTTGCAGCATGTTGATAGATAAAGGAAAGTGTGTCCTTGTTCTGCTGGTTGTATGTGATAATTAGATTTTTTATGTGAATATTTTATTCATCATTATTTGCAGAGAATGTAAGCCATTTGCTGACTCGCCAGAGAGATGCCATGAAAGTAAAGCTTGCTCTGCTTTTAAAACGCTTCCTACTGTTTGAGCTTTGCAATTCTATCAATTTTCTTTGTAGAATTTTCTTTTAGGATGCCATATCATGATGTCAGTTAAAAAAAAGTTATTTTTTAAATAATTCATACAACTTGAATAATTAAAATTAATTACAATTATTTATAAATATATAAAATAATAATGACACAAGAATATAAATATTTTGGAGAATTATCTTCTTGGATGCCATATGATGATGTTAGTATAAATGTTTAGAGAAAAAAATGAAATTAACTTTTAATAATTCATGCATAATTTTAATAAAAAAAGAATAACAGAAATACTATTCTAAAATAATTATGAAATAAGAATAACAAAAGAATATAAATAATTTAGGGAATTTTCTATTGGGATGCCATATTAGACCTCAGTGGAAACGTTTGGAGAAAAAATCTTTAAATACATCATACATCCTTTTAATAAAATAAGATAATGACATGTGTAATTCTAAAATAATTATAAAAGGCAATCCTCTACAGATGTCAGTGGAAATTTTTTAAAGAAAAGGCATAATAATTATTTTGTTTTTAATTAACTCATACTTAATTCATTTTACATAATAATTCATTTTACATACTTAATTTAAATTAAACAAGAAAAAAAGAAATGAAAGAAAATGAAAAATTTTGGGGATGCCATATCAGACCTTAGTGGAAACGTTTGGAGTAATAAAAACAGTAAATATTTTTAAAAATAATGCATACATAATTTTGATAAAATAAAATAATGACATAAATACTATTCTAAAATCATTTTAAATTAATAATAACACAGGAATGTAAATAATTTTGGTGATTTTTCTTTTCAATTGTATTTTATTCTAAAATAATTATAATTATAAAAATATATATGATAAAACGCTCATTTCTTTTGGGATGCCATATCAGATGTCAGTGAAAAGGTTTGGAGAAATAAAAAACATGAAATAAATTTTGGAATAATTCATAAATCATTTTAATAAAATACAATAATGACAAACGGATTTTCTATAATAATTATATAATAATAATAATAATAATAATAATAATAATAATAATAACACAATAATATAAATTATTTGGGTGATTGTTTTTTTTTTAAGATGCCATATTAGATGTCTGTGGAAATGTTTAGAGAAGAGACTTAATAGGCTAAAAAAAAATAGATTATAATAATTCATACATAATTTGAATAAAACAAATTCTACAATTATAAAATAATTATAATTGATATAGAAATATATATTAACACAAGAATATGAATAATTTGGGGGATTTTCTTTTGGGATGCCATATCAGTTGTCAGTGGAACTGTCGAGGGAAATAAAAAAATTAAATACTTTTTAAAATAATTCATACATATTTTTAATATAATAAAATAATGACATTGATGCAATTTTAAAATAATTATGAAATAATAACAACACAAGAATGATTATAAAAAATACATATTAAAGCAAGAATATGAATATTTTTAGGGATTTTTTGGGATGCCATATCATGATGTCTATGAAAAAGTTTAGAGAAAAGGCATAAAAACTGCTAAATTATTTTTTAAATAGTTTATACGTCATTTGAATAAAATTAATTCTACAATACTAAAATAATTATAAAAATATATATTAAAACAGGAATATAAATAATTTGGGGGGATTTTCTTTTGGGATGCCATATCAGTTGTCAGTGGAAATGTTTAATGAAATAGCGTAAAAAAATAAAAAATAACAACTGTTTAACCTATTAAAAGCATTAAAATTAGCATACATCTCACAAATGTCAAGTAAAACTATCCAATAATATAAGAAAAGTATATGCCTATACGCTGAAATAAACAATTAATTGGATTTACAGAAAATACATTTTAAGGTAAGCGGCACAAACAATTTATATGTTATAATTTAAACAGATTAAACTGAGTAATGTTTAATTTCATTTATTTGTTTAAATTCAGCCCATATAGATTGTTTGCAACCACTTAACTTAGAAAAATTGAGTAAATACAATGACTTTTTTCAGTGTTCCTGCATGTGAACAGAGTAAACATGTCATGTACTACTGAGTTCAAATAACGACAGATACATCCAGTTACTGTATGTAAATCATGATTTTGTCAATTGAGACCATAGATTGAGACTGGTGAATCATAATAGCTGCGTCTGTGTATGTTCATTTGCATTAGCTTGTAGTGCCATCTAGTGGCCATATCTGTATTAATGTGTCAGATTAAATGTCCACTCGAGGGTCGATGAGGGCTCTCATTGTCTCTCCATGTCTTCCGCTGTGAATGAGGGCACCTGTATGGAGAGCTGTTGACATGGGCAGCAGGTAAAAGCCTCTCAGATGTGTGTGATTCACGTCTCTCTCTCTCTTTCTCTCTCTCTCGCTCTCATATAACGTTATGCGGTGACCGCTGTGTTCTGAGTCTGACTCGATGAGACAGACGCAAGTGTGTATATATTGATTTTTAATGTGCTTTTAACCTTGCCTGACCCCGCCAAATCACAACAATCTCCCGGGAAAATAATGGAGCGTTGCTATGGACACTATCAGCAGCTCCGTACTGACTCCATTCAAATCAAATCATTGGCATGGCAACAATAAAACTAGATATTAAAGTTTGAGGACAAACTTTATGGTGGCTTGAAAAGCCGAATCTGAAAGTTTGAAGTGGTTTTAAAGTGTAAATAGCATGTTAGTATGATTTTAGCTTGAGTTAACATATTACTAGCATGAATTAGCATGTTAGTAGCATGATTCTTACATGAATTAGCATGTTGTTAGCATGATTCTAGCATGAATTAGCATGTTACTAGCATGATTCTAGCATGAATTAGCATGTTGTTAGCGTGATTCTAGCATGAATTAGCATTTTACTAGGCGGTTGTTAGGGTGTTTAAAGTGGTTGCTAGGTGGTTGCTAAGGTGGTGCAAGGCAGTTGCTAAGGTGGTCTGACTAGTTGCTAGGTGGTTGCTAAGGTGTTGCTAGATGGTTGCTAGGGTGTTTTGAGTGGTTGCTAGGTGGTTGCTAGGGTGGTGCTAGGCAGTTGCTAAGGTGTTCTGACTAGTTGCTAAGTGGTTTCTAAGGTGTTGCAAGGTGGTGGCTAGGGTATTCTGAGTGGTTGCTAGGTGGTTGCTAAGGTGTTGCTAGGCGGTTGCTAGGGTGTTCTGAGTGGTTGCTAAGGTGTTGCTAGGCGGTTGCTAAGGTGTCCCAAGTGGTTGCTAGGTGGTTGCTAAGGTGTTGCTAGGTGGTTGCTAAGGTATTCTGAGTGGTTGCTAAGGCGTTGCTAGGTGGTTGCTAGGGTGTCCTGAGTGGTCGCTAGGCCCTTACTAAGGCATTACTAGGCCGTTGCTAGGTGGTTGCTAGGCAGTTGCTAGGGTAATTTGGGTGGTTGCTAGGCAGTTGCTAGGGTACCCTGGTTGGTTACTAGGCAAGCCTCACATACATGCTTGATAAAACATTTATACTTGGTAAGCATTTCTAGCAAGTTAGAGTACTTGGCTAGTCAATATTAGCATGTAGCTAGTCACTGCTAGCATGTGTAGCATAAAGGAAGTTCCGTTTGCTAGCATGAGTCAAACGAGCCAATCTCCAAGTCTCTACGATGTTCTGATGCTGAGATATAGCTGTTGATGAATGGTTGCTAGGGTACTCTATTTTGTTGCTATGGGCGAGGTTACAGAGTGAACTTGAATGTGGTTGGTTGTCTTAGTCAAATGAACCAACCCCCATGTCTCTATGACTCTGCTTTGCAAAGATATGCATCTTGGCTTATTTTAATGGAAGTCTATGGAATCAATTTGGGGGCGTGGCTTGTGAGCTTTATTATCATATTGATATGCTCATTGGTTGTCTGAGTCAGATGAGCCATCCCCCAAGTCAATAGGACACTGCTATGCAAAGATATGCATGTAGGCCAGTTATTAACATGGGTCTAGTATGAATTAGCATGTTACTAGCATGATTCAAGTACAAATTAGCATGTCATTAGCATGTTTCCAGTATGAGTTAGCATGTCATTAGCATGATTAGCATATGAGTAGCATGTTGCTAGCATGATTGGCATGTCATTAGCATGTTAGAATTATAAGCATTTGATAGCACAGCTAATTACATTCTATAGGACAGTTGCTAGGGTGCAGTATGTGGTAGTTAGGGGTGTGGCTAGAAAGTTAAAAGGCCATCAGTGATTGGCTGCTGGCTAGACTGAGTTAAATGAGCTCAGCCATTAGTCTGTATGACAGTCTGATGCAGAGTTATGAGGTCACAAAGTTTGATCCCATGTTAAGTCAATGAGTCTTTTGTAATGGAAGTCTACGGGACAGTTGCTAGGGTGCAGTATGTGGTAGTTAGGGGTGTGGCTAGAAAGTTAAAAGCTCATCAGTTATTGGCAGTTTGGTTGTCTGAGTTAAATGAGCTCAGCCATTAGTCTGTATGACAGTCTGATGCAGAGTTATGAGCTCACAAAGTTTGATCCCATGTTAAGTCAATGAGAGTCTTTCGAATGGAAGTCTACGGGACAGTTGCTAGGGTGCCATAAGTGGTTGCTAGGGAGTGGTTAGTAAGTCTAAAGGTCATCAGTGATTGGCTGCTGACTAGACTGAGTTGAATGGGGCCTGACTCTAGTCTGTAGGACAGTCTGATGCAGAGTTATGAGCTCACAAAGGTTGACCCAATGTTAAGTCAATGGCAGTCTTTTACAATGGAAG